TCCTGAACTACACTTACATGAAGAGAACACACAGGCATTCCTGTGACATCGTGCTCTACATTTGCACAGACAAGACACACATGCATTCCTGCGACATCATGATTTACATTTTCGTGGACAGGACACACATGCATTTCTGTGACATCATGTCTACACTTGTGTGGTCAGGGCAAGGTGTAACAAGGACAGAAGAGGCTGTGGTGCTTCATCTTGCTTGTCAATGTGACATCAGGGAAGAAGGACCCTCAATTGGGAATTGTCTCCTTTACATTGGCCTGTAGCACATATGTGGGCATTTTCTTAGTTGCAAATTGATGTGGGAGGGGTAGTCCACTATTGGCAGCGTGTCTCTGGGCAGGTAGTCCTGGGTGTATAACAAGGCAGGCTGAGCTGAGCAAGCCATGAGAAGCAAAGCAGTAAGCAGTACTGCTCCATGGTCTCCAGTTCAGTTCCTCCAACCAGGGTCCTCTCAAGGTTCTGCCCTGCCTTCCATCCATGATGGACTGTGATAGGGTCCCGTAGCCCAAATCAATTCCTTCTCACATGGCTTTTGGTCAGTGCTTTATCATAGCCACAGAGACAAAACCAGAACAGGGGCTTAGCCATGGGGAAGGCATGGTGTTGATATGTGCTAATAATTAATATTAATCATATATATGTTTCTGAATTCCAAGCTCAATAGTGAATCTGAAGATTCTATAACATGATTATATGGCAAATAAAAATGCAGTGTTAAATACTTCACCCATATATTCACATTTTACTCAAAACAGGAAAAGAACAGTTACCAACAACAACAAACACTCAAAAGAGATGAAAAAGTGGCCAGGCATGAAGCTACCTATGTAATACCATCTCATAAAACAAAAGGTTACAATCTCTGATACTTAGTAAATCCAGAGTGGTTAGTTACATGATACTGAAATCACAAAGAATAAGGAGAACTCTTAAAATGTAATATTAGGTAATCAATGCGCAACAGAAAACTATATACAGCATTTAGTCACGGGACACTATGATTCCAAACATTTTTTATAATAAAAAACATAAAATCAGAATATTAGTGACTATAGTTCATTAGGGCATAGTTAACTTTAATTTTTTTCTAGTTTCTACATTTTCGAGTTTTCTATCCAGAAAGTGCATATTTTATGTAAGAATATTTTGTTTCATATTTAGTAAAAGCAAAGCACAAGCAAGTTGAATATACTTATTTGTATACTTTTCTTCTCATGCAGTATGTTTTATACATTTTTATTATTTTCTCAGGAGTAGGAGGTACGAGGATCAGAAGTTGAAAATCATGCAGAGAGACTCTCAAGTTGGGTCTCGTTTCTACCCAGGCCACAACTCTCAATCATGGGCTAATCACCGAGTCATGAAAGTCTACAGAGAGAGTTGTAGGCAAGCCTGGTCTCTAAGACACCCTGTCTCAAGAGAAAAAGAAAGAAAGAAAAGCTTTTACAGTAAAATAAATGCCTTGTTTACTCAAAAGAGGCAGCTCATAATGTCTTTTGCTAAGACTTGAGTAAGGTCTGGGAAGGAGGGAGTTCAGACATCCACAAACACCTTAGGTGACAAGCAGAAACATTTCATTAATCCTTTGAAAAATAAATGACCTCACCCCCTTCTGACTGCAGTAATTAACACACGTTCGGAGGGTGGTGGGAGGACTCTGCGTATTATTCATTCCTGTCCATTTGTGGTTTGGTGGTCAAGCTAATGGGCATCTTTGCCAGATAACTTCTGTGTGTGAAGCCCTGAGAAGTTCTCATCGGGCTTGTCGCACAATGTCTCACCAGAAGAGTCAGAACCTTGAAAACCTAAAATGATGACACCCACAGGCAAGAGCGAATCTGAGCTCTGACTTTCAAATGGCTTTACTGTCCCTCGCTTCTGTCCACAATCCCTCACGCTGGCCCAGGCTTGGAGCGCCACAGTCCACACAGCTTAGCCTGTGATTGGGAGTTGTGGCCTGGGTAGAAATGAGATCCAAAACTTGAGGGTCAAACTTTGCCCTCCACAGATGTCCACCAGTAAAATCTGCTTTTACTCAGTAGGGTCTTGGCACCTCGGGACTCTCATCTGAAGATCCACCTACCTAAGAGTCTCTCCCCTCCTCCTGACACTCCTTCTTTCTGTCCTTCTGTCTGCCACTTTTACTTCCTTCTTAACGATTTTGTAATAAAATAAACAGCCTTGCTGATGAGGGAAAATTCCCAGTCCGATCTTACTAAGTTTGGCTTTTTATGAGAACCGTGTCCTCTGTCTGACTTCTGTAGCTAGTCCACAGGTCATGTTGATATCCGCCTCCCTGTGGGCTGGAGGGTCTGTATCTACGCAAACCCTCTGCAAATTTGATGCCAACAGTCCTCTGACTCTCTGGGCTGCACATACTGACACCGGCTTTAGTTTCAACTTTCTCTCCTGTTCTTGTCTTCCTTTATTCTAATTTTGAGTTTCTATGTACCGGAGGCCATCCCCTCAGGAAAACCAGAGCTGTCCAAAGAGAGGCTCCATCAGCCCCTGCTACCCATGCCTGCAACCCCCTCCGTGCCCCATGACCCACACCATACTCCCCGTACCCCCTACCTGTGCCCCTGCCACCCACACCACTCAACTCATGCCCCCATCCCTCTCACACGCGCCCCCCACCCCTACCCCTCCACCCATGTATCCCCCACCCACACCCCCACACCACCGGAGCCCTACCTCCCACAACACACCACATGGACAGGTAACCAGAGCTTTGCCTTCCCTCAGTCCCGGGGAATGAATTCCGCCCCTTTGCCTCTTGTAGGTCATTTCCCTGGCCCCGCCTTTCATTTAAAACACCAAATTTCCTCTCTACAGGATGTTTCTCATCCATTGCAAAACCCGTGTATACTCTATTCTCCAGTCTAAAAACACAAACTGCTGAGCCGAGAAAGTTCCTCCTCCATTTAGCTCGCCTTGCGTTGTCTCTCTCCAATCCCCTCCAGCTGCTACCTTTCCTCAGATTCATCCAAACCCAGCTTCTGCTCCAGGGCGCCAGGCCACTGCAGTGCTGCGGGTCTCTCCTCGGCCTGTAGAGAATGCTGACTCAGCTCCGACGTTTTTTCAGACACCTCCATTGTTTCACTTCTAGACTGTCCCGTTCTTCTTCACTTGCTCCTTTGGTGACCAAGCCCTGCACTCCCTAGCTGGACTTCTTCTTTAGGGTGTGTTATCTAGTCACAGGACTCCGAAGCCACCCCCCACCCCGGGCTAGGTGGGCCTACCTCTGGTCTCCAGCAGGACCCTCACTTCCAGACATCAGGTTTGGGTAGACAATGGTTCCGCGGATGTTCAGTGAGCGCCTTACCTTCAGTATGACTGTGTTGGAGTCTGGACTCATCCCATGAGACTTGACCCTGATTCATCCCGTAATGAACACTTAGTGTTGAAATAGTTACGCACGCCACGCCCCCTCATCTAATACTTCAAAAATCATCTAGCCCCAGTTGTTCTGTGTCACCTCCATAGTGGCGAACCAAGGAAGTCCAGATTGTTCCACTCTGTGGAGCTCAACCTGTACTTATGCTGTCCCAGCAGCCTTTGCAGCTGTAGTTCCTTCTTTCTAGAATGTTCTCTTTGTTTCAAAGAGTGAAAGCCGCTTTCCCAGGAAGACTTCCGTGACCATGCATTGTACTTTATAAGCCTTGGTCCTGTCTCACCTACATCCCTGTCCCACTTGCCTTGCTTCTCTCCAAAGCCTGGCCCTGAAATGCTACCGACTGGTCACTA